GATGAGCCCTGTATGCAAGGTCTGCAATGATCAGAATTTAAGATGCATATACAAAAAATACACATGTTATTTGTTATACACACCACAAATTTGAAGATGACTGACTCTGAATGACCACTACAATGGTCAAAGTTGAAACTTCTAAACTCCAGCAAGGTGGATGGCCCAAAAACAATCCATTCCTCATGTGAACGGTTAAGTTTCATTATTCAAATGACCTTGCTTCACTCTGTTAGTTGTTTTTTGGGTCTCAGTTGTTTTGTTCCATTTGGGTGATGCCTTATCACTGGTTGTATTCTTTTCTTTCTTCTTAGTTAATATTTTTTTTTTCCTTTATAATTCCTATCCTGTTGTGGACTGGTTTACTATTTTCAACTTCTGACTACTGACTTCTGAAATGGCCAAAGTCGAACCTGAAAACTCTGGTAAGTGGATGACCAAAAAAACTGACATGAACAGTGAAGTTTCATCTTTGAAAGCATCCATTCTGTCATGAACCTTTGTTGAGATGAAATCCTGGAGTATATTAATGATTGTTGGTCTAACTATGTAAGCTTGATGCTTGTTCAGACAATCAGATAAAAGTATGATCCCATTCCCATACACTGCTGGCATAATGCCTTTAGTCTCCTTGGTCAATGTGTAAACTTCCTTTTCCTCTATTTTTCTTCAAGTACTTTTGGTGGTTATTAATAGCTAATTGCATCTTCATTACAGTGGTATGAGAAATTTACTGATGTTGATGAAGTCATTCCTGTGAGTGCCAAATATGGTCATGGAGTTGATGATGTCAAGGAATGGATACTATCAAAACTTCCCCTTGGACCTGCTTACTATCCGAAGGTATGTAAACACCCATTCTTCTCTAGAGCATCTAACTTTACATTCTTCCAGCTTAGTTATTTGACTCATTTCTTAAATGAAATGACTTTTTTTTCTTCTGATGACATATCCAAACATGAAGGACATTGTCTATAATCTCAAAATTCAAATAAAACTCAGTTGGCTTTAAGCAGTAATTTTCTACTTTTAAATCCACAAGACCTCAAAGGACTCCTAGCAGGGAAGTCAATCTCAACCTGGATAGCAACAGAACTTTTGGATTGATTTTGGGATTCCAAAAATATTGCAAAAAAGTTCTAAATTCCAACAAGAAGAAGAAATCTTTCTATATCTTTCTTTTTTTTCTGCTCCTAACTATTATGTAGCTTTTCTTTATCTTTCTTATTCATTCTCTATTTAAACAGGTAGTATACATTTTATTATTTATAGATCTGAAATATCAGAATCTTTTTGAAATTTAAATAGTGTTAACAAGAGAATTTTATAGACATTTGACGTTCAGCTCTTCATTTTTTTAATTGATCACTTGAAATTCAGACCACAGCAAAGGCCTTTTGAGTCTTGTTTAGGGGAGGAGGGGTTCAGTTTTCATGGTGTCAACTTAAAGTTCTCAGATATAATTATTAATTTCATGGTTATAAGTTTTTTTTCGATAATGCTATAAATTTGTAGTTTTATATATATATATATATATATTTATTTATATCTTTGACTAATGCTCAACATGAGAAAGGAGAAATATCCCTATCTTATGTGCAAACAAATGAAAAAAAAAAATTATACAAGTAAAAAAGAGCTAAGCTTCTTTATAATTAAAGGAAACAGTCCTTGGCTTATCAAACAAAAAAAAATAATTGTTATAGGCTTTGAGAATCCAAAACAGATCTTCTAACTACAGCTGTGTCATGTTGTCCTGGGCATTGGTAGAATCATGTCAAATGATTAGCCATGCATCTTTTCTCATTTCTCAAAATTTTCCAAGGTAAGGCTTTCTGAATACTAACACCACATTCTTGTTGGGAGTAAAAAATGCCCAGCACATGTCTTAGAGTTTGATTATTAGGCCAAGTCGATTTTATCAGACTTCCACACTTTTTATCATATTATAACATTATGAATTGTAATTTGGGATTTTTTTCCCTTGCATGTAGAATTTATACTTTATTTTGGGGATTGCCTCAGGAATCGTTATTCCTTTGTTACCATGTATTTTCAGGACATTGCCAGTGAGCACCCGGAAAGATTCTTTGTAGCTGAAATTGTTAGAGAGAAAATATTTATGCAATATCAAAATGAGGTTCCTTATGCATGTCAGGTATATCCATATTTTCCCATAAACTCAAAATACCTGTGAAGCACAGGTCTCTTCCATGGAGTGCCCCTTAGAACAAGATGATATGAAAATTAGAAGTAATACTGAAGGTGAGTCTCTTTCTCTTCATTTATTCAGGTTAATGTGGTTAATTATAAAGCTAGGCCAACCTCAAAGGACTTTATTCAAGTTGAAATTGTTGTCGAGAAGAATTCACAAAAGATCATCCTCATTGGGAAGGTATATAGATCCTAGTATAGTTTTTTTATAGCTCTTTCTTTTGGCAAATGGCTATTCTGCTACTTATCCGAATTTTCTGTGGTAAGTCAGATTTTCTTATGCATATACTTTTAGAAATATCAACTTTGGCAAACTAGGATCTTTTATTAGCTTTAACTATTTCTACTTGATTGGTATCACCAAACAATTCAGACTACCAGCTAACCAACAAATTACATTATAATGATATATTGTTCACTAAGATATTGGATAGTTTCTTTTCCAGCATTTCTGTTCTGATATGTATGAGATGCACTAATAAAAGAAAATGGCCTAAATGAATTAATTGTTGTCTTGAAGTCTTTTAGCGCACTTCACCCAGTCTGTCATCTTGAGGAGATTCTTTCACCCAAGTATGCTTTTTTTTTTTTTTTTTGATAAGTTCTTTCACCTAAGTATGTTTTGGGCTCCACATTCTATAAGAGGGAATGAAAAGAGATTCTAGAGTTTAAAGTTGATAGTAAAACCAGATGGTGCACTGGGGATATTTCTCACTATTTATTGCATAATTTTATGATTTCTATCAGCTTTATTCTTCACTCCTTTGTTCAGATAAAAATTTCATTATTTTATTGTTTTTTATCAATAACAGAGATTTCGTTAGATGATTAAGAAAAGGAATACATAGAAGGGGAGCTAAAATATCTTGACTCCCCACAACTGTCACCCAAAATACAACAGCAATTACAATTGAGCCCAAAAAATAGAATTCCTATTCACCCCTTATCTAGCTAATCCATCTGCAAAAGAATTAGCACTTCTCTTTATCCATGTGCATCAAACTTCTGTCCTTGGTCAGCCATTTATATTTCCTCTTTTCATTGCTGTAGCTCCAGAGTCTTGAGTTGTCTTCTTTTAACCACATATATCAAGAAAGAATGGGTTCCTGCTCCCATCCCCACATGTAGTTATGAATATAATACATAGCTTTTCTCAAAAAAAAAAAAAGGAAGGAAAGAAAGAAAAAAAAGTAACATGAATCTGTAGCCTTTGAAAGTGGATAATTCTTTTATTTGCACAAAGCTCAACTCTACTGATGTGCTTTAGAGAAGGAGATTGTTTTTCATCTGATCTGTACCAAAGGGACAGGAAGAACCATGGGGAGTATGCTCTTATATCTGAGATGATGTATGGAAAGGATGACAACTGGTTGCTCATCTTATTCTTTTATTTTGAAGTGGTAAATCTTAGTTGATCTCATGGAGAATTTGAACAGAGGAGGATCTTTCAATTCTGGAGTTGTCTCAACAAAGCCTTGTCCTGTCTATGACAAATCCTAATTTTTCAATCCAAAAAATTAGGTGATAATTCCTATAATGAGTTTGAAATGTCAATTTAGCGTTCGTGGATGAAGCCATCATTTATCTGGGAAATTAATGAAAGGCACTAGATGCTGGTTGGGTTAATTGGATCTTTCTCCCCGCACCAAGTAATGAAGTAGTACCTATTTATAAACTTAAAAAAGAATAGTTAGAGGAATAGCTGACATGATTTTAGGAAGGCCACTAGAATTTCCATGACAGTTATACTAGCCTGATAGAGATAGAAACTGTTAATTTTCATTGTTTCTCCTATATACTCGTTAGATTGTTTAGAGTATTGGTTGTCTTGTTATCCTTATACTTTGTGTAAACCACGATATGTTGAGCTATGATCACCAGTCCAAAGATTTTGTGTTTGATAAACAATAGTGCATTGTGGCATTGGAACTCATTTACGTCTTATTCCATCTTACATTGCTTCTCTTGCTAAGTGCAGGAAGGGAAAGCATTAAAGTTATTGGCAACTTCTGCAAGACTAGATATTGAGGACTTCTTGCAAAAAAAAGTCTACCTTGAGGTGAAACTCTTTGTCTATAGTCATGATATCTACATAATAAGTAGTCAAGTACCTGTACAAAAAACTACCTTGGTCAATTTTACTTGAATGTGTTTATATCTTTGGCCCCTATTTTTTTCCCCTTATTGTCTTGGTTTTTGAGTTACATTTCAGAGATCTTAGGGAGGGGGGAATTACTAATATGTATGATATTGTTTTCCAAAACAAGTACTGTACAGCTGCAACATCAGCAAAGTCATATTGTTTTTATTTTGAGAAACAATATCATATGGTAAATACCTCCTAAGTGTGCATTTCTTTATCTGGATTTTTTTCTTTTTTGTTTTTCAGTTTTGCTTTTTTGAAATTTATTTTATGCTACAATTATATTCTGACTGGACATAGAACTGTTTTGGTTGGATCAAATGGTCTGACCGCTGGGTTGACAGGTGACGACACACTTGAATATAAATAAAATTTTGTGATTTTGACATGTGCTTAACTTGTAGTCCAATGGTTAAGGTCTTTGTTGTCATGTGTGTGGGCTGTGTTCAAGTCACCTCATTGCATTTTAATAACAAAAAAAAAAAAGTTATCATCATCATCTAAGCCTTGTCCCAACTATATGGGGTCAGCTACATGAATCCTGTTTTGCCATTCTGTTCTGTTCAGTGCCATATCCATCATTAAATTATGGGTGCTTAAATAATTTCTTATTACTTCCACCCAAGTCCTTTTCAGTTTGCCCCTTCAACTTGTAACAGATCACTTTTTCTATACTTTTACAACAGAAAAAAGCATAGATGACCTAGTACAATGTGCAGTTAGTAAACTGATTTCCTGGATCTCTGTAAAATCTGAGTTCAAAAACCTGAATGTGCCTGAGTTGTTAAGATCCCAATCTCTTTGGAGTCTGTAACCTGATCTGCTGTCCTAGCTAATCTCAGTGTGGCTAGGGAGCTGTGGTACTATTTTGAAAATTTTATCTTATCTTTCAAAAAACAAGCATAGATGATTTTTTGGTAGAATGGAGAAAGGCTACACAGCATCCCGGGGGGGGTAGCACATCCCTAGAAATCACATAAAGTTGTATAACTTATTGACCACTTCATAATTTTGACTAATAATTTTATGCAATCTACCAACGTTAGCTAACCAATTAGCCGCTCAGTTCACTTCCCTGAAAGTATGGGCACAAATAACCCTTAAACATTCATTTCTAACAACATTTGCAGTCCTCGATCAATCAACAAACTTTCCAAGGCACTTCTATCTTCTCCTTGAGGCATTGCATCACGACCTTCGAATCTCCCTCGACCTCAATCCTGTGGTGTTTGAACTTTGTAGCCATCATGGCCTTCTATTATTTCAAAATCAAACAAGAACCAACCTGAAGAGATAGTATGTCTAAAACTTCACCCATACAATTTCTTGCTATGCAACCAGATGCACAGAACCCATTCTCTTTTCTGGATGCATCAAAATATATTTTATAGATGTTTAACATACATAATTTGTGGAAGCATTTTTACACACAAACAGGTTTGTGGCATAGTGTTCTGTGCCTTGACTAACAAAGAGAACACTCGGGTCTTTATGATAACATTTTTGAACTAATTCGCGATGTTGACCTGGGGAGTTCTTTGAAAACTGAACAATAAAATCGTCCAGTTTTCAGAGAACCATTCAATTCCCTAGTGATTCAAATGGTTATTTAGAATATTGAAAATCCAGGCTTTATAAAACCTGGAATTATTACTGAGCCTCAGTCTAAAGAGGGCAACCATCTATTCTACTCCAAGTCTGGCAACATCGGTTTAGTGTTCAGAAGGATGTTGCTCTAGTTAGTTTTTTCCTTTTCAATTTCTTTTTCATATTTTATTCTTTTGTCAAATTATACTTGTATAGATTTATTGTTGCAGCTAATGTTAATGTTACCTTGGAGTTTATTTTACAACTAAACCATAGTTTTCTTCTTCCTTTTCTTTTGGCCTAGTCCATGATCTCCGACTTCTTGTCTTTCATTTTAATATAGATGGGTGTTAAAATCATTTATATTTATTTATTTACTCAATTTTTATGGGGATAAGGTCTGTGGAGCATATTATGTCCCTCCCTATTAGAACGTGCAGATGAGGATGTTCTGTTACAGAACATTGAAACCATCCTCTTTCTTAGTTGCTCTGTAAGATGTTGAAAGTGATTTAGGGATGCTATGGTTTTTGAGTAGCAAAAAGCCTGTGTAAATTAGTTTTTGCATTGTAACTCCATGGTAATCTGTTGGCTGATCAAGCAGATTGAAGTTAAGGTGAAAGAGAATTGGCGGCAAGACGAAGATCTTCTGAAGCATTATGGATATGGTGGCCAAATTCGAGCTTTATAATGCAAAAAACATGAACCATATACTATATATTGACCCCAAGTCTATGCATGGATGGAACTTCACTAGAAAATCGTTGCCTCAGTAATGATCAGGTGCTGTCTGCTGATAGTATAAAATGTTTTCCCACTGGTAAGTTTTGGGAATTAGGAAGTCTTGCACCGATCACTCAGTAACTAGAGATGGATGGATGATCTTCCGATGTTATTGCATTGGATGTCTCTGAAGAGACGATGTTGTGATGCTGCTGCTCCTAATATTCAAGTTACTTTCTCGAGGTTAAATTAAAGGAAAGTGATAGCTGAATTGATTCGTTGAACATAAAGAGATCTTAGCAGTGACTATTTGATTGGGACCTGCCTAGTACATGTACATGTAACTTGAATCTTTCTCTGAATGTATCCGGAAGCATTTCCAGAAATGAATCATTTTTTATCAACATTGTAGGGTTTAAAATGACAGGTTAGAGATGATATTAGTAATCCTAGATTGCAATTACTCCTAACCTCAGGAGTTAGGAGAGTTCTCACTGTCACAGGCTATCGTCGGCAAACTGGGCACATGTGACATGAGTGGGCCAGTGGGCCTCAACTCTTTTTCTTTCTTATATTTTTTAGTTTTTTCATTAGGTCCACATACTTTTTTTTTTTTTTGCGGGTCTTGTTGAACTTGTATTCCTCTTTGCTTCTGGTTCTGGGGAATCTTATGTCGTATCCTCCTTCGGCAGTCGGCTGCCGGCACCGGTGAGCGGTGACCGGACTGGGTGTGTGTAGATCACGCCATTCATAATTAGGACCCCCTTCATATGAGTGGCGAATAGCTAGCTAGTGAATGGATATGGATGTGATGTGAACGAGCCCCATCCCGTGGGATGTAGTAGTGTACGCATCATTGTCCGGGAATTTTCGATGGGTCCCGTAGCATTAGAGATCAGCGATAGATGATGTGAAATCTGCGTGTATCTATCTGCCTGTTGGCGCGATGTAACATTAGCCGATTAGCGTTGCGGTGCGGACCAACACCAGTGGGCCGATAATAGTAATATAATTATAAGCCTATCATAATTCATACCTTATCTTCTCTAAGTTTCTTTCCCGTAAACAAAAAAAAAAAAAAAAAAAAGAAAAAGTAGAAAAGAAAATGCTATCCTTCCTCGACCTCCCATAAGTGAAGGGATGGAAAACAACAGGTGCACGTGAGTGGGGACAGTGCGCATGGGGGGGTTGGATATCTAACACATGCACCATGCAGGCATGCACCCTCTCAACAGTACAGGACCATAAATACGTGGCCCACAATTAAACACAAAAAAACGAGAGAAGAGGGGCGAGGCTTCCTACAACATGCGTAATCTCCCAAAGATTCACGGCGACAGTTACGGATCACATGAATACATAATGGGGCTGTATCAAAACGTCAGTTCCGTGCCACGTGGGATGGATTGGATTTATTTATTATTAGTCATGTTACTTCACTTGTGCCGGTGAGGGAGGGACTGAGGAAAGGGGGCACCGCCCCGCCGCACCGGCCCTCCAGTCTCGTCTCTCCACTACGACGACAATAATATTAATATCCCTTGTAGTTGTCTGATCGGTCTCGGCTACGTTTTGTAACTAAATTGTAAAATGTAGGGAGGGCCTCTTCTAGTTTTATTACGTTTAGTTGATTTGCTCATTTGTCAGTTGTGTGATATGGTATATGTGGTAAAGGTTACTAGTAATCTTATAATTAGGTTCCCATTCCAATTCCCCAATGAGGCAAAGCTCTAGCCTCTACGCATGTCAAGTTGGATTATATCCTTGATTTGGTATCTTCTATTCCTAGCCTATGCCCTGGAGAATAGGGTAACACCGACTTAATAATCAAACGAGAGTCATCACGTTATTGGTTTAGGGTGGCGAAGTACAACAAGTACTCCCTCCCCTCTAAAGGAAAGGGGAGGTGGGGCCACAATCCTAACTCCTATAATAATAATATTTTTGGATGGTCCACAAATATACTTGAGAAGCTATATGAATGCGATAACTGTAATGCTTGTTTCTTTCTTTTCCTTCTTCATGATCATTGGCCAATGGCCATTCCCCATCATCCTCATCACTCTCTTCCTTCTTCTTTTTATTTATAATTTAAATATTAAATAAACAAGTGAAAACAAAAACTAGTCGGTGGTGTGGGGAAGCGGAATATATTCCAGATTTCCTGTACGACATGGGATTTGAGAAATGGAAGCAAAGCATCTCAGATCTTAGATCTCACTGTAGCTTCTTTCATCATTCACCGATTTTTTATGTCTTCTGCAAGTTTTAAAAGTGGGGCAATTACTTGGGAGTTGGGACTAAGGAAGCTTTTGTCCTTATCCATCAATTCGGTGTTGATATATAATAATATTGCTGGGGCCTGGGCCGTCTCATTAGCCGCGCGTCAGATTAAATAGACAGAGAGAAGCGTGGGAAAGCAGTAGAGAATGGAGATGGCCAGATGGGGAAAGGAAAACGGGGCGGAGGTGTCTTCAACAATTCAACTGTCGATCTTCATCTGCTCTCCCCATGACTGACTCCTTGAACTTGTTCTCATTCCTCACGTGGAAGGTTCCTCCAAAATCTTGACATGATTTGATTCCATGACAATGATGATGTTAACCACTCTTTAATTATTATTTCTACTTCTTTCTTTAGCAAAAAAACAGTGCCCTCTCTCCACTGTTTACGGTTTGTTATCAACCACGAACCACCCCGTAAGGAAGCTTAAATTAAAAAAAAACAGGATCCATATATGATGACGACGGGCTTCGGAGAACTGCTCGATGGGTCCCGGAATCGTCAATCACTCAATCGTCGATAACCACCTCCCACGTTGCTGTCGGTGGTTAAATGAGTTACGAGCAGTTGGTGGACGTGGACCCACCCTCTTTTGTGTCCTTGGGTCTTGGGTCTATAGTCTGTCTATACGAGAGACACCCAATATTTTCCTCGTACATGATTAGTTTTAAGTTTTACATTAAACCGGCGGGTAAATGAAACGAAATCTATTATGATTTATGATACCCAAAAAGAGCTTTGACTAAAACGGAAAACAACCTATAGCTGTTTTATGTTTTAAAGACTACCCTGTTTTGCATAAATTCAGCCTCAGAGTCCCATACGAAGCAACCATCCATTTATGCCCTCCTCCTCTCCTGCATTTCTTATTACCGAACTAGCAGGAGGAAGAGAGATGAAGAACTGGTGTCTGGTTTTGTTTGTTGTGCTGTGCATTCTACAGCAGAGTTTCCTTATCCAAGTTGAAGCACAGAGTGGTTTCGTAAGAACCAGTGGACCGCATTTTGTGCTGAATGGCAGCCCTTACTATGCAAATGGGTTCAATGCCTACTGGTTGATGTATATGGCATCAGACCCATCTCAGAGAAGCAAAGTCTCTTCCGCCTTCCAGGAGGCTTCAACCCATGGCCTTACAGTCGCAAGAACTTGGGCTTTCAGTGATGGTGGCTACAAACCTCTGCAATACTCTCCTGGCTCTTACAATGAGCAGATGTTCAGAGTATGTATGACGATATCATCCATCCGTTGCTTATATTGTGGCCTCTTTTAACATGTATCTTATGCATATTGTGGCTTTGATTTCCGATTTGTTTAAAAGGGATTGGATTTTGTAATTGCTGAGGCGAGAAGGTATGGTATTAAGCTTATATTGAGCTTGGCAAATAACTATGAAAACTTCGGAGGGAAGAAGCAGTATGTGGAATGGGCTAGAAATCAAGGGCAGTACCTGACAAGTGACGATGATTTCTTCAGAAACCCGGTTGTGAAGGGATACTACAAGAATCATATTAAGGTAATTCAAAAATAATGTTTGGTTTATATTCTTGCAACTAGTTTCACCTGCGCCTTACATATGAATACAAGAACAGGGGAAAGATAAAGAAGAATCATGACCTCAGTTTTAATAACAGATCTATTGATCTGGATTTATTTCTTGAATCTTGAAATGAGTTTCCTTTAAATTTAGTATCCATTGAACTTGTCTTCTTTTCTTCTTTTCTTTTTTTCTCCTTTATCCAGTTTGGATAATTCTTTCAAGGAATGATTTTTTGTGGCTCATCAAATGGGGATTGTTGTGGTTTTCTTTTCTCTTTTTATTTTTTTCAAGAATTGCTAAGCCATTTTGTTTTTAAATTTGTACCTATTGAATCTCGCTCGTCCCTTACATTTATACCTTATTGTTGTAGACTGTTCTTACAAGACATAACAGCATTACTGGAGTTGCCTACAAAGATGATCCTACAATCATGGCATGGGAGCTCATGAATGAACCAAGATGCACATCGGATCTATCAGGAAGGACCATTCAGGTTAAAATACCTTCTTTATTATTATTATTATTATTATTATTATTATTATTATCATGATGATGATGATGATGATAATGATGATGACATGATCCTGATCATCATCATCATACAAGCTTCACTGTTGGAAGTTTATTTAGTCACTTTTCAGGCGTTTGAAAGTCCAATGGAGGGAAACCATTTCATTCTGGTCGTTGGTAGCATTTGAAGACATACCATTTTATTACCTCCACAGAGTCATCACTCAATAATACTCATTTTAGAAGTTTAAAGAAGTTATTTTTTCTTTTTACTTTTTCGGTAATATTCTGCAGAAGGATGATGACACAATGTCTTACAAATGTTATATAAGAAAAAGGAAGGAATATATAAGCATGATAGACGACCTTAAATGATTGTGTTTAACTTAAAAGTAGGACCTCAATCTCTATATCATGTACCCTAGTCCCTCAATGATCTCTGCACTCAAGGTTACTCATGTGCCACCTGTACTCCCGAATTGAGATTATCTTGTGTTACTTGTACAACACATAGATCCTCATCAAGAGGAATGCATTAAGTGGTTGAAGCATGTAAATACCTATATACACATACTGGCACAGGACAACACACTCCTGTAATCCTGTCTAAAAGGCTCTAGTTTAGCGTGCTTTAATCTGATTATTGTGGTTTATGCTTCTCTGACAGGCTTGGATTACAGAGATGGCATCTTATGTTAAATCCATAGACAGAAATCACTTGCTAGAAGCTGGTTTGGAAGGATTTTATGGGGAATCATCAGCTCAGAGGAAGCAATTCAACCCAGGTTTTCAAGTTGGAACGGACTTTATTGCGAATAATCAGATCCCTGGCATTGACTTTGCTACAGTTCACTCGTATCCAGATCAATGGTAATGATAAACAAATACATAGGAAGATAAACACAACAGGTCTCACATAAAGTCATAAACAATTCAATTTCTGTTTCCTTCTGCCTAAAATAAAACAATCAAAGCATTACCTAAGATCACTACTGTGGTGTGACACTGCCCATACAGGCTTTATTGATGGCAGGAGCCTGTTTAATAACCATTTCCTTGAGGTTGATTCTAGGGGTCATTACTTGGTGCAATGTTAATATCTCAGCCTTCTATATACAATGCAGGCTTTGTTGATGACAGGGACCTGTTTAATAACCATTTCCTTGAGGTTGATTCTAGGGGTCATTACTTGGTGCAATGTTAATATCTCAGCCTTCTATATACAATGCAGGCTTTGTTGATGACAGGGACCTGTTTAATAACCATTTCCGGAGGAGGGGCCATTGCTTGGTGCAATGGTAATATCTCGGGCTGACAAGCATGACAATGCAGTTCAAGTCTGAGAGCAGAGCAGCTAGTTCGTGCAAAATGCTGTAATTAAGCCCCTAATCCAATCAAACCCCACCCAAGACCCTGGATGGACAAGGACCAACACTGCCATTTTTTCATGAGGTTGAATTTCATGGTAGTCAATCTTCTGATTTAATCAGATAGATTTGCTCGTCTTATAATGGCATGCATTGCGTGGGTTTTCATGGCTCACAAGGTGTTCTTGGTTGCATGTTAACTGCACACGAGTCATCTATCTATCTGGAAAGATTAAACTAGCTGTGGTGTCTAGTGTTGTGCGGTTTCTTTTTCTCTTTATTGACTTTATTTTAACTGTGTTCTATAAACAGGTTCTCAAGCTCAAATGATCAGGCACAGCTTTCTTTCTTGAGCAACTGGCTCGACATTCACATCCAAGATGCACAGAACATCCTTCGGAAGCCATTACTCCTTGCTGAGTTTGGAAAATCATCAAAAGACCCTGGTTTCAACACCTATGAGAGGGACATGCTGTTCAATACCGTCTACTCGAAGATTTATTCATCAGCTAGAAGTGGAGGGGCAGCGGCTGCTGGACTCTTCTGGCAACTTTTAACAGAAGGAATGGACTCTTTCCGAGATGGGTATGAAATAGTATTAAGTGAGAGCCCCTCGACAGCAAATGTGATTGCTCAACAATCTCGCAAACTTTATCAAATTCGGAAGATGTATGCCAGACTCAGAAATATCGAGAAGTGGAAGAGGGCAAGGGCCATTAGGAGGGCTCAGTGGTTGGCTAGAAACAAGGGGCGGAATATAGGAAACTAAAGAAATGCCAGACCTAACATGAAAAGTTGGAGACATCAGGTTCAGATGTGCATAGTTAAATACTTGAATGTAATTTCATGTCGTTGGGGCTTTTGCCAAGGTTTTGGTAAGTGCATTTCTCCTAGAGATGGGTGTTAGCTCATCCAGGAGATTAAGCAATTATAACTTTGTGAGTTTATATATATCTAAGTAAATTGTAAACCAAGACTCTCATATTGCTTGATCCTAGTCAGCAGAAAGAATACAAAAAAAGAAAGCTTCAGCTTACTTTTTTTCATTCATGGTGCTTAGCTTTTGATAGAACGTGTTTCCATATCTTGAAAAATGAAAGCTAGCCATATTGTGAGATCATTACAGGTCTCCTCATTGGTAATTAGATTGTAAGTCGATGGCTGAATCTTGCCTAACTAATTATTCATTTGCTGTGAATTAATACAGATGTCATACATTGCCAATGGCCGCATTATTACTTGTAACTAATCCAAAACTCAGTGATTCAGCTCTGTACCCACTGAATGGACTCCCATACAAACCAGACAACCTTATAGCCTGTTCACTTATTTAGGAGCATTTCTCAACTAGCAAACTCTATTGGCTCTAGCAGAAGAAAAAGGAGCTAATTTACATACACGAGCAAAGGCAGTACATACTTGTTATTATGAACAAGGAAACGCCTACAGCCCCGCCAGCCCCCACGATCTCAGCTTCTCCAGTAACCACAGAATCAGTATTTCTTGCAATCCATCCAAAGCTCTTTGTCCCACGGATGTATTTAATACTATATGATGGTTCCGTCTTTAATTGTTGCATTCTTCAGTATAACTACGATTCCAGACCTAATGTAAAATCCTTCATCTGGTCGGTCTGCTTCTTGAACATTCTAAGAAATCAGAGATTCAGAGTATTTAGATGGTGCGCCAACCACAGATAAAACAAGCATAACTTAAATGATTTGGATTGACAATTCATTCTACAAAAAGTTTTTAAACAGGAAATAAAATACTTGAGCATGGAAAGCAGCTATATACTTACATCTTTATTTTCTATTACCACATCTCTTCCTATCTTCGCATTCTTGTCAATTATGCAGTTCCTTAAATAATAGGAAATATCGTTAGAAAGTTGTAGAAAATTGGCAATTATTCTCTCACACACACAATCAATGAAACATGCGTATCTACATGTGCATTTCTCTGAGTGTTCAGTAAAGGCTGAATCACACCTGATTTTGGTATTTTGTCCGACACCAATTGGAACTTTCCCCTCAGCCAGCAGGGATGCGATTTCAGATTCAGTTTGATAATAGTCTGCACCCATCATCATAGTATCCTGAAAAGACAATAACAAATTCTGAATACAACCTATGGTTGTTGTCATCAAGAATAAAACCTGCTAAGCACACAAAAGCAATCAATGTGGAATTGGTTATTTTAAAGTCTTGTTATGCTTAGATTCAACTAACAGTCATTATCCCTGTGCACGTCTAAGGAAGCCTTCTTTTCTTGTTGGATTCAAACTTTCATCAAAGAGAAAGAAGTAGCTTAGTCTTGTTTAGGCACCTTTTTCTTTTACTAGAAGAAATTTGCACATTAACTGTGGTTACTCACCATAAGCTCGACACCATACTCCAAACGTGATCGCACACCCACTACGGAGTGTTGAACACTACATTCCCGCAAGAAGCACCCATGTGAAATTATTGCATTAACAATCTGCACGAATTGGTTGAATTATGATTCCGGAGATGCAAGAAGCAAAAGATGAAGCAACAGACTTATCTAGTTTATCGAGCATACCCGGCATTTGTCAACTTTGGTAGGTGGTAAGAATCTAGGAGACGTAAAGAATAGTGTTTTGGGGTCATAGAACTCAAACTTGGGTGGCTGAATTACAGATAAATTAGTAGTTAGTTTGCAGAATACAGTAAATGTGTACCACCAGTATAACTTGCAAATGTTTTGAACACTTCAATGGCTTAAATTTGCAAATAGACAATAATCAATAGTGCATTATCTAATAATACTTCACCTGTTCGGTCAAGGCTAAATTAGCATCAAAGAAAGACTTGATTGTTCCAATGTCCTCCCAGTAGTCATTAAACAGATACGCCTATCAAAATATGAAAAAATAAAGACATTTAAAACACAATAATGCAGAATAAGCATTAAAGACAACAATGCAGTTTCATGCCTAGCCTAAGCTTGGTCTCCTATTTGAAGAGAGGATGTGGATGTGATGTAGGACTGCCTACGCTAATACAAAATTAATGTAGGATTGGATGCTTTAATATCAAATAGATGTAAGATGGCTATGACCCAAGGGTGAGTGTAGGAAGGAATTGATTGAAATCTAAGGTTGGACACCACAAACATGTAAAATGACTAAAATACCATTTGCCATCATATGATCGCATTTCCCTTTTATCTCCTATTGCCTTATTTAACATAAATGAACAGATAATGTACAAGATGAATGCTATTTTTCATATCAAATGTTACATAGTAAAAAGACAAATATTTTAGACCTTTATTTGTATTAATATGGTTAGAATTCATAAAGAAAAACATAAAATATTTTGATAGTATGTACTTTTCTGTAGATTGTGTCCACAAGTCCATGCTTTCTCCTCTTGCCAAGTCAGACTCTTAGAAACATGTTAGAGTTCTACTTCAATGCCCATGTCCAATACAAACTCGCTTATGCATTAGAATGAGGAACTCAAGTTTAGGGTTTATTTCTTACCTGGACATTGTGCTCCTTCACAGCAGCTGGAATGATTTCAGATCCAAAGTCATTGCATGTGGGATACCTCCACCTTAGAAGCTTTAGCAAAACCTCTGTTCTGAATACATAAACTCCCATTGATGCAATGTAAGGATATTTGATGGATTCTTCTTGAGACAACCCAAGAAAAGCGGTATCGACTTGCTGTAGAGACCAAGAACAGTTCTTAGATTAGGTAAAATCTTGTGTATGAATCATGGTAATGCTATGTGTCTGAAAATATGACTTTAGCACAAAAATGAATGAAGCACAGAGAGTAATGAACCCAAAAGGTTAATGGTCTTAAATTTAGTAGTAAAAATAGTATATGATGGAGTAGATTTCCCATTAAATAGAACAACCAGGAAACATACAAGGAAATTAGGAAATACAGAAGGAGACATATAGAAATAGTTGGAAAAAACTTGGTTATTAATTCAGTTTATCTTTTTTCTATTGAAGCTTGGCAGAAAGAGGAGATGAAAGTCTGGACCTAAACCACCAATCCTCATAGTTTTTTCAGGTTTATGGCTTGCTAGTTAATTCTCAGTTTATATGTAGAAAATTTTTGGGAATTGAGAAATTCCAAACCTACTGTGAGATGATATTTCTTTTTTTTTTTTTTGTTTAATACAAAAGAACTAAGATAGTATCCAGCCAATTAGTATTTGAACATACTGGTATAACTTGATGAAATCAAATCCAAGCCATCCTTTTGCAGCCTTACCCATTTCCATTGGGATTTCTCATATGTCCCCATTCTTTTATCTTTCAAAAATTTTACAGCCATTTGTGTTTCAAGAAGAATTTCTCAATTCACTTGGTATCAAATGCAATAACAAAGATGATCTTAGTCTGTTGCAAGAGGTTTTTGTATTCAACATAAAAGATTGGCAACCCGTAAGAAAAAAGGGTAACACTCTTGACATCTTTAAATGGACATAGGTTTCTTCTTTCTTTATTTTTGATAGAAGCGAATGGTATTGAAATTCCTCGACTTGAAAGGATACTTGTATATTAATTTGCTTATGGGACTCTACAATAAAACAGTAATCTCCTCACTTTCTTTTCATCAACAAAATATGTTAACTATCAGGAAAAGATGATGAAACGCAGAGGGGATAAGATAGGCCTACCATTGCTTTAAGGTCAATACCCTTTGGTTTCTCAGAAAAATGGATGATGTGGCCTGTCTTGTCGATCTTCATCAATCCATAATCCGATGCACGGCTTCCAAATAATAGATCAAATTAAGATGAAGTTCAACAGCCATAAGATAAAGGAGTAATTCTACACAATTGACATAACAAAACATGTGCAAATGGTTTTGTGTAAGATAAATAGACTAATGAGTTCTAAGCATGCCTTCCATTCTATATTTTCCAGGTAATTACAATTCTAGACTCCAGAAACTATAAAATAGGGCACAGCTTCTATCTATCCTGTTGAGCTATCTTCCTAATTTAGGATAACATCAGCTTACATGGACTCATTTAAACTGGACAAGCTGACTATATTGGTTCTTAACATTACATGTTAATGACAGTTGTGAGTTTCAAAGCAGCACAGTGGTATGGAATCCTTGCTTCAGAAGATGTCTTAGATGAATAAAAACATATTGAAATGATATTCTAAGGTGCTGTTATCAGTAGAAGGAAGAAGAATGGTGTACACGAATGAATGAAAAGGGTGTGACAGCCCTAGAGGTCGGCCCACCCATTTGAATGAATTCTGACTTCAACCTTCTTTAGTAACATAAGACAGCAGCATATATCTATGTATTTTTACTAGAAGAAATTCTAATGATTAGGAAGTAGAACCCATGGAAAATATATTGCAGAAATTTCAAAAAGTAACACAATGTCTAGACCAACAATATGTAAGGGTTTGGAAATAGGATTGCTCAGGTTCTTCTCAGTTAGATCCTTTTACAAGATGTAAAGTTCTCAACCCTGTTACAATTTCCCAAGCTCCAAAATAGGGCTTTCTATTGTACCATCAAAAGTGGTCCTTCTGGTATGGATAACAACGTCAGAGAAATGATTAACAGCTGACAAAGTTACAAGAAGGGGATGTAATGGAAAGTAATGACTGTGCCCTGTGCAGCCGAGGCTGAGACTGCAAACTGTCGATTTTTACATATTATAGTAAGACAAAATTTTATTAACATAAATAAAAAAAAGAAGTAGAACTGAACTAAGGTACCAAGGTAAAACTTTGTTACATCTTAGCTATAAATACTCAAAAGATACAAAATTTGCATTTTCAATAGTTTCCCAAAACCTATCCGCAACACATGATCTGCTTGTTTGAGCAAAATCTGGTAGAACCATCACCCAATACATAACCATTTTGCCTATATCAGCCACAGTTCCTTCAATCCATCTAGATTTATTTTCCAGCAATCTCCTATTTCTTTCCTTCCATATTCCCAACATAATGCAAAAAGGATACAACTTCAGAAGATTTTGGTTTGTTTTTGCTTCCTTGAATTCTTAGCCACTTGGGGAAAAAAATCTCTTCTTGATCATTGGGCTGGAAACACCACATTGAAAAAATAAAAACACAAATAGAAATACCATATGAAGCCAGCCAGGCAGCCACCTTACAAGAAATGAATGTCTCCCATTCTCTTCTTTAAGACACATGACATCTACCAGCGATGCTACTCATTAAATGATCTTCTGTCAGTATAGCATCCATTGTCACTAGCAATGCAAATGCCCCAACTCCTTTAATAGATCAAGTCTCCATCTGGTTCCTGTAATTGCATGTAACAAGGCTTGACTGGGAACCTGCCATTCTTACACTCTGTCTTCCACAATTCATCTCTCTATGCAGTAGAGACCCTCACCTCCTAAAGAACATGAAACATTCTTTCATGTCTCTATTAAGGGTCTCCTAAACTTCAGGCACCACACCAACTGTTCTCCTCTCAACTCATAACATTGATTGATCTCAATATATCCAAACTCAGCCTATATAAAATTGGACATAGATCACAAAACTTCCCCACTTCAATAAATGTTGTAAATGCTTGAAACTTTGATGAAACGCATAAGGCTTTTCCATACACATCAATGTTGTAATACTCAGACTGGACACAAAACTGGAATCCTTGTCAGGTTGTGGGCCAAACAGTTCGACCGCACGTCAAATTTGAATGTGGTGGTTAGATGGTTGGTTCCTTAACTTTTATGCAAATGACTAGGGTTCAAGTGTTACAACTCACATTTTCAACAGAATAGGTTTATTGGTGCGTGGGTGTGTGTATGTGTGTGTGTAAAAATTCCCGATTAGTACCCTGTACTTTGGGCCTAGTGCCACTTTGGTCCCCAAACTTTAAAACACGACAATTCAGTACCCGAACTTTCAAAACGTGCCAACCCAATACCTGCCGTTAACTATCCATTAACCAGCCGTTAAGTGGCATTTGAAAAGACACAAATACCCTTCGAGTGTCATCTAATTTTCTTTATTAACCATCCATACGCTGACAAAAAATGAACAGTCCCAAATCCTTTTCTCTTCTATTCAAGAAAGTTGGGGTCACATCTCAGTGGGCATTCTGGTGAACCCAACTTTCTTGAATAGAAGAGAAGGATTTGGGACTGTTCATTTTTTGTCAACGTTTGGATGGTTAATAAAGAAAATTAGATGACACTTGAAGGGCATTTGTGTCTTTACAAATGCCACTTAATGGCTGGTTAACAGCTAGTTAATGGCAGGTACTGGATTGGCATGTTTTGAAATTTCGGATACTGAATTGTCACGTTTTAAAGGACGGGGACCAAAGTGGCACTAGGCCCAAAGTACAGGGTACTAATCGGGAATTTTCCCTATATATAATTGTTTTGTGCCTAGTCTGAGTCTTACAACATTGATGTGTATGGAAGGGCATCATGTTGTTTCATCAAAGTTTCAAGAATTTTACAATGTTTATTGTGGCATATAGTTCTTATGGAGGAAAATTATGGACACTCTTCCAAGTTTCAGCAAAGGGCTAAGTCCTAAATTGGGAAACGGTGATAGGTTGGCATCTTGGAAAGACCCTTGGTGTGGCAGCAGCCCTCTCTCAGAACTATTTCCACAATTATTCCAGTTAGCTGAGAAACAGGATGCAGCTATGGCAGATTGTTTTGAGCTAATGGCAGCTCTGTTTTTTGGTGTCCATTTTGAAGAAACTTTCAGGATTGGGAGATTGCAAAATTTGCTGAGTTGCTTGAGCTGATCTCTCTCCAGTCTCTGGACTTGAACAAAGAAGATAGTTGGAGCTGGAATTGGAGTGCTGATGGACAGTTTTCAGTCAAAAGACAAAACCTTTGCCCTCAAACTTTCAGACCGGTTTTAACGACCCACCAGCCTCAAGATTTGAACTCATAATCTGTCATTTAGTTAAGTTAGCTTATTACCATTAACCCTGATGAATTTTGGGCTGATATAACTTGTTTTTTATTTACATAGCATAGTTAGGGAGTTATTGGGCCTTAGGCCCATTAGTTTATGTTTTAAGTCAAGAGTGTTTTTTAAGTTCTCACAAGTAGCCAACTTACTAAGGGCATACTTGTCTTTGTACTCTCTTTTATTTATGAGTATATAATCCAATGAAAGGGGCAGCCAGACCTAATTCTGTGCTTCTCCCATTCTCTTATCTCTCTTCTCTCTCTTTCTCAGCTGAAACCTTTTTCTTCTCTTTCTTTTCTTCTTTCTTTTTCAGTTTTTATATCAAAACAGGTTGTCCAAGCTTTTCTACTTGGTATTAGAGCAAATTTAAAGATTTCTTTAGCTGCTCCATCATGCAGCCCTAGATCGGCCGACTGCATGATAAGGCAAAGGGCTGATCGAAGACTTTAGGTAAGCCCCATTTTTGGATATTTTGGTGGAATTGCAATCCCTTGTAGCTAGCTAGGGCTTTACACCAAAATCAGGAAGAACCGAAGAAAGGGGGAGAGTCCTAATTTAGGACTCTTCAATTTTGACCTAGAAAGTGGTGCTCTAGTTTTCTAGGTAGGGGTGGCCATGAGCCGAGCTTCTCGCGAGCTATTCGAGCTCGGCTCGGCTCAGTTTAAACCGAGTTTCGAGCCGAGCTCGAGCCCAATGAAGCTTGACTCGTGAGCCTAGTATAATAAATAAATAATTTTTTATTATATACATATATACATATACATATACATAAATATATATATAATAAATAATTTTTATTATATATAATAATATTTTATATATAGTATTCTTATTTTTTATGTATAATAGTAAATAGTTTTTATAATTCTTATTTTTTTGTATGTAAAATAAAAACGTTTTTATATGTATATTTTTTTATTTTTATATGTATAATAATAAATAATATTTATAATTCTTAATTTTTTGTATGTAAAATAAAAAAATATTTTTATATGTTAATTTTTTATTTTTTAGAAAAAAAATATGGCTTGCAGTCGAGCTCGAACTTGTGAGCTTTGAACCGAGTCGAGCTCGAGCTCAAGTCTCTAGCTCGAATCGAGCTCAAGCTCGAATAGCCAAGTATCCGGCTCGGCTCGGCTCAAATCCACCCCTATTTCTAGGGTTCCTTGAGATTTTCTAAAGGGGGCAGTTCATGTCCCAACCTTATTGGAGGTCTCTAGAGGGAGTGGCAGTCTCCTCTCTCTTCTCCCGCTCACACGGAAAAGGGGATCTTTGGAGGGAGGGGCTTTTAGGGCTCCAAGAGGGTGTTTGAGGTTTCTAAAGGAGCTAAATACCTTTCTTTTCATCTCAAATTGACTTCCTAATCTATTGTGGGAGTTATGGAGGGTTGTGGAGTTGAAAACAAATTTAAAGGAGAAATGGGATCAGGGGGAGGAGGTGCTGGAGACCTCTTCGGAAGTTAAAGTATTTCTTGGGTATAGAAGTTGTCAGGTTGAAATAAGGTGTGAATTTGTGCCAAAGAAAATATGTTCTTGATCTGTTGGATGAAACATGACTGTTAGGTGCAAAACTACCTAAAACACCCATGGAACCGAATGTTAAGTTGAGCAATGATGCAGGTGAAATATTTGATGACCCTGGAAGATATAGACGGTTAGTGGGAAAGTTGAACTACTTGACCATCACAAGACCAGACATCTCCTTTATTGTTAGTGTGGTGAGTCAATTTATGCAAAATCCCCGAGTACCTCACTAGGATGTAGTCCTTAGAATTGTAAGGTACCTAAAGAGAGGTTCAGGCCATGGATTATTGTACAAACCAGGAG